TCACAAGCAACAACAACAACGCCAGAGACCCAAATACCAACGCCACTGTCCCAACTCCTCAGCAGCGTCTCAACCCCCTCCGACCAATAAGCAAATTTGAAGCCTTGGTCAAGGGTATAGAAAACAATATTCCCACTTCAGCGCTTACACCACCTGCCCCTATTTTTGGTCACCACCTATGCCCATTCTCCCATCAATGGCGAAATATTACCACCGACAAGTGGGCTTTAGAGGTCGTCACAGTTGGCTATTCCATCTCTTTCCTCTCCCCGCTTCCCTCCCACCCCCCCACCCCATCCTTCTTCAGGGATCCCTCTCATGAGTAACTGCTCCTCTAAGAAGTACAACATCTCCTTCAATTGGGGGAAGTGGAAATTCTGCCCGAACAACACAGAGGGAAAGGTTTCTATTCCCATTACTACTTAACAGAAAAGAAAACCGGTGGATGGCGACCGATCCTCGACCTCAGGCTGCTAAACAAATTTATCAAACAGCAAAAGTTCAAAATGGTTACCCTCACCACCATAATCCCAGTGCTTGAGCAGGGCAATTCGTTTTCAGCCCTCGACCTACAGGACGCCTATTTTCATGTGACTGCTCACCCAGCCCACAGATGTTTTTTTCGTTTTACCCTCGGTTAGACACATTTTCAATACAGAGTGTTGCCCTTCGGCCTATCTACCGCCACCCGAGTTTTCTCCAAACTCCTAGCCAGAAAACAGGGGGTTATAATATTTCCTTACCTTGACAATTGTCTCCTCAAAGCCTCAACGCTCAACGAAGCTCTTCAATCCACGCAGCTTACCGTCGCTTGCTTCCTTTCGCTTGGCATACAAATAAATAAAAACAAATCCACCTTATCTCCTACCCAACAATTGGAGTTCATTGGAGCGCACCTTGATGCCCGAACGGGAATAGCGTCTCTCCCGCTTGATCATTTCAACACCAGAAAACTCCTGGTTACAAAACTTCACAACAGTCCCCCGGTCACTGGACGAGACTGCCTGCAACTGTTAGGCCACATGGCCTCATGTACTTTTGTGGTCAAAAATGCATGTCTATACATGAGGTGCTTCCAAGCTTGGTTGGCCACAGTTTACAGACCGAACATACACGCTCTAAACAAGCTTCTATCCATACCCTTCAGAGTCAAAGACTCCCTCCAATGGTAGACAGTTCCCTCCAACCTCTGCTCAGGAGTCCCTTTTCTCCTGGACTCCCCATCACTCATAATGATTACCGATGCATCCCTCATGTGATGGGGAGCACACATGTCCCACCACACAGCCCAGGGGCTATGGTCTTCCACCGAAGCCTCCCTACACATAAACGTCCTAGAACTGCGAGCCATACGCAATGTCTGCCATCACTTCCTCCCATTCATTTGGAACCAACATGTTCGGATAATGACAGACGACATCGTATGCATGTTCTATGTCAACAGGCAGGAAGGGACTCGATCTCACTCGCTTTGCACAGAAGCCATGAAGCTCTGGAATTGATGCTTCGCAAACAACATCTGGATATCAGCCGCCTATCTTCCCGGGGCCCTGAATACCAACTGCGGACGAATTAAGCAGACATTTTCCCTGGGATCATGAATGGGAGATAAACAACATGATCATACGCGATATATTCCGTGTTTGGGGCTATCCAACCCTGGACCTCTTCGCAACTGCGAAGAACAAGAAATGTCCCGATTTTTGCTTCAAAGCGGGATTGGGCAAACATTCCCTAGGAGATGCATTCCTGATCTTATGGGCTCAACACTTAATGTATGCTTTTCCCCCAATACCAGTTCTCCACAGAGTTCCGACAAAGATACAAACAGATTGTGCCACGGTAATTCTGATTGCCCCGTCGTGGCCCAGACAACCATGGTATCCGTTCCTCACCAGAATGTCAATTTGTCCACCAATTTCGTTGCCTCTCACTCCGAACCTCCTATCGCAACAACACGGCCGATTTCTCCACCCCAACCTATCCATGCTTCACCTCAAAGCTTGGTTCCTCCATGGTTCTCACAAAGCGAACTAGTATGCTCTGAACAGGTTCAAAGAGTACTCTTGTATAGCAGAACACAATCTACTCACACCACATGTCTCCAAAAGTGGAAACGATTCATACACTGGTGCTCGAACAACCAAATTCTTGACACTTCCGCACATCTTCCGGCCATACTTGATTACCTACTACACCTGAAGCAGTCCGGCTTTTTTTCAGCTCCATCAAAGTCCACTTAGCTGCCATTGCAACCTTTCACGACAAAATCGACAGTACTTCTCATCTAATCACCAAGCGCTTTCTTAAAGGGCTCCAATCCCTATACCCGGACATTAAACCTCCTACTTCTCCGTGGGACCTTCACTTAGTACTAACCTGTTTAACGCAACAACCTTTCGAGCCCCTAGCCACTTGCTCCCTCTTACGCTTCTCTATGAAAACAGCATTCTTAGTGGCAATCACCTCCACCAGACGTGCAAGAGAAATAGTAGCTCTCATGGCAGACCCACCCGACACAATATTTTTTAAGGACAAGGTTACCCTCCAACTTCACCCCAAATTTCTTCCAAAGGTACATTAGTCATTCCACATCAACAAACCTATACACCTACCAACCTTGTTTCCTAAACTGCATGCAAACTCCTTTGAATCCACAATGCATACATTGGCTGTATGCAGGCCTTTGTCCTTTTATTTGGATAGAACCAGACCCTTTAGGACAAGGGCGGGCAAACTTTTTGGCCTGAGGGCCGCATCAGGTTTCCAAAAT